GGCTTCCTCTGCATAAGCTTTCATGGACATTTCTTCGTGGCTGTCTTTCCATTTCTGATTATATGAGGAAAAAAAGCATTCATCCAAATACAATCCAACCTCAGGTGCCATCGGCACGTTAATGTTCACATTCCTGATATCAATGAACGTGTAAGAAATCAAAAAGCTCGATCAAGAAGGGTGCTACAAGAAAAGACAAAGCCTACAAAAAAACACTTACGGTTCAAAAGCTGTTTCAATCAAAGATTCAGGAGAAATATTCCTCATAATTGCAACTGCGAGGCCAATCATTTTCCGAATCTGATGGAGCATGAAGCTTTGCCCGATCACCTCACACTTCACAAACTCAATACCCTCTACATTAACAGTAGTGTTTGCATTAAACGAAATAATATATCTCTTTGCAGAGGGATCCTCAGCTTTTGTTCTTGTAGTAAAATTGTGAAAATTGTGTGTTCCTTCATATAACTTCAAAATTCTATTAAACCTCTCCCTCTCCCGCTCTCCATACGAAATCTTGCACCTTCTCTCTGGTTTTGTGTTTCCATCCACGTTTCCACCGGCAGCAGTATCTTCCTCAATTTTATCACTTTGGGCAGCCCCACTATCCAATTCTTTCACTGTTTTAATATTTAACTTAATATTGTCATTGCCATATCTATTTTCTGAAGTTTTATTAACTACCTTCTCTTCATTTTCCAATTCAAATAAAGAACTTGTGTTCGATGAAATGCTTGAATCAACCGAAACAACTTGAATATCAGAATTTGAATGGAAATTTTGTTTACCCATTACTCCAAAAACTTTACGACCTCTTTCCGAACACTCCAAACATTTAACGAGCTCATTCTCAGACCCCACACTAGCTAAAACACTCTCCCTATCTCGATGACAAGATGGATCAAGAGCAAAGACTGGAAGCAAATAAACATACCTACGCTTATCACAGAACTTCTTAGCATTAAACGCCCCCGTAACACGTTTGAACCCGAAGACTCGAATCTGAGGAGACAAATTTGAGTTCAAACGCTCGATAAACCCTGGCGGGTCGACATAGAACCTTCCCGAAACCACTTGGCCAACGGCGCTGACGCCTTTATCTGTTCGAGCGGAGCGGGAAAAGTCAAACCTTCTAGGCAGTCCCCTCTGCTGTTCGGGAACAGCACCCGAATGATAAAGGGCCTCCTCAAGGTCACCTTCGATGGTTTTGGCGCCAGGATTTTTTTGCATACCCTGGTAACCCACGCCGCAATAAGCGAAGAAAATTGCTATTTTGCGGCGCTTGTGTCTGGGTTTTTTTGGAAGTACGGCACCTTCATCGGCGGCGGGACCATTGTCGAATTTTTCATCGTCGTCAGAAGTGGTAGTGGACATTTTTAGCTTCTTATTATTTGGCTGCTGTTCTTCTTCTTGAGGTTTAGGATCTACAGAGGGGTTTGGGTTTTCAATTTCCATTGTCAAGCGAGTAGGGAGTGTGAACATGGAATGTTGGGACTGGCCATGACTGCGTGAGAGTGTATAGATTTGGGGCTCACGTTTCTCTATTCCCCCGTAAAACCCTAGAATTAGAGGAACAATTCCAATTGGATCGTTTAGGGTTTTTCACTCTTACTTTGGTTTTTTTACTTTATAATTTCATTCTTCTTGTAATTCAAAAAAATAACAAGAAGAAAAAATAGTCTTCGTGTAATATTGACTTGGAATTAAAAATTACTATATTATTATTTATTTTTCTTTTTTT